CACGTGTACACTACATTACCTGTCGTAGACACGTGTACACTACATTAGTTGTCGTAGGCACATGTACACTACATTACCTATTGTAGACACGTGTACACTACATTACCTGTCGTAGACACGTGTACACTACATTAGCTGTCGTAGGCACGTGTACACGTGTACACTACATTACCTGTCGATGGTACGTGTGCACGTGTACACTACATTACCTGTCGTAGGCACGTGTTCATTACATTACCTGTCGTAGGCACACTGCACTACCTGTCGAAGGCACATGTACACTACATTACCCGTCGAAGGCACGTGTGTACGTGTAAACTACATTACCTATCGTAGACACGTGTACACTACATTACCTGCCGTAGGCACGTGTTCACTACATTACCTGTCGTAGGCACATGTACACTACATTACCCGTCGAAGGCACGTGTGCACGTGTACACTACATTACCTATCGTAGACACGTCTACACTACATTACCTGTCGTAGGCACAGTTTGTATTAGGAGACGTTGTCGTATCCGCTTCGTTGTTTATCAACCACCGGAAGTGACCAGTCATGTAAATAGGTAATGTCCGGAGCTGCGCAATACTTGCAAAGGAGCAATCGGCATTCATGTCTCCAATTATCATAACATTCTGAAAAAAAGTGAAATTATTATAATGAAATAACAGAAAACTACCCAACTAATCAAGAACAACGCGGTGTCAGGGTAAGGTTAATTATGACGTGGTGATGTCGGTGTTATGTTAATTATTACGTGGTGATGTCGGTGTTATGTTGATTATGACGTTGTGATGTCGATGTTAGGTTAATTATCACGTGGTGATGTCAGGGTTAAGTTAATTATGATCGACGTTGTGATGTCAGGTTAGGTTAATGATGACGTGGTGATGTCGGTGTTAAGTTGATTATGGCGTGGTGATGTCGGTGTTAGGTAAATTATGACGTGGTGACGTCGGTGTTATGTTAATTATGACGTGTCCTTGTTAGGTTAATTATGACGTGGTGACGTTCAGGCTGGGAGAAAGAAGAAATGAAGCAAATATGATTTCTACATGGGCACAACATAGGGTCATGTCAACATAACTTTATTTGCAAGTCAGTTGTACAAATCAGAAACGAGGATCGTGTTGTTGCAAGCCTACTGTTGTCAGTATAATGTGACCAGGCGGGATACTGTGCTTGGTGCCTTCGGCATGGCATTTCATTGAGATAGCACAATAAAGTCGGCATCAANATGTCAGGTTAGGTTAATGATGACGTGGTGATGTCGGTGTTAAGTTGATTATGGCGTGGTGATGTCGGTGTTAGGTAAATTATGACGTGGTGACGTCGGTGTTATGTTAATTATGACGTGTCCTTGTTAGGTTAATTATGACGTGGTGACGTTCAGGCTGGGAGAAAGAAGAAATGAAGCAAATATGATTTCTACATGGGCACAACATAGGGTCATGTCAACATAACTTTATTTGCAAGTCAGTTGTACAAATCAGAAACGAGGATCGTGTTGTTGCAAGCCTACTGTTGTCAGTATAATGTGACCAGGCGGGATACTGTGCTTGGTGCCTTCGGCATGGCATTTCATTGAGATAGCACAATAAAGTCGGCATCAAATCTGCGCTATCACAAGGAGGCAAGCACACCAACATACCCTGTCTCCTGCATACTCACACGCAAGCACGCATATACTACACACATGGAGGCACGTCATTAAATGACCTTAGCTGTTAATAGGACGTTAAACAAAATGAAACCAAACCAATACCAACAAGTTGACATGTTAGGTATGATGAACTCCATAACAAGCTTTATATTTCTTTCACTGTTCTTATTTTCTCTTCGATAGTAACAGCCGTTTGCTGACTAAGTTAACACATCACTTTAGCCGCTGTATAGCCTGTCATTGAACCACGTGATTTATTCAGTTTTAAATATTGTGAAGAAGCAATCCTCGGATTATACTTACAGATGTATTCCATCTTTTGACCAAGTCCTCGTACACATTGTACAGATGTTTAATTTCCGACACGGCGTTTGAAGGTTTAGTGTGAATACCGATCACAGCAAACGCTGCCTCTACAATAAATAAGCTCACGGTTAAAGGTTAACTTCAAATTAAAAATAAAACTTAAATATTAATTCGGAATTACATTTATATACTGTATAACGCTGGAACATATCTTTATACAATTAATACGTAATATACACTTATAATAGTGATAATCAGGTCTCTGATCATAAAGTTTCTTAATTCTCGTCTTTTCGCCCTGAAAAACGAATTAACGAGATTTAAGTTTTCTTAATTCTCGTCTTTTCGGGAGAACAAAATAAATATAAATAAATAACGAGATTAAATGTGTTCTTAACACTAGTTATTTCGGCGCGACAAAAAGAAGTAACGAGATTTTAGAAATCTTTACGAGATGGCACAAACCGGTCACCGGATTTAGGTGACAATGTATTGAATGGAGGCATGCAGTGATAAGGTATTTACCCGGGTCTGTGTTGTTGGGTTGGAACAGAACACTAAAAGGATCCCTCTCAAACTCGTTATTGGTGTCGCGGTATTGGTAGGTCTTTAGCACGGCGAGTTTGTCCGGTCTTTATAAAAGTTTATTATAAACGAGAAACGAAGAAAATATTCACGGCATGTTATTCTCATGATAGATATAAGACCTACTTCAAGAATTTCTAAAATTAAAGGATTCTTCGTCACTTTATTACAGTTGGTCATAAGGGACTTAAACTTTCTGAAAAGAGTCTTTTAATAGGTTCGCTCATTTAAGTGATGTTTGTAAGAGTCTACGCAAGCACGCTAAAAATTGATAAACTTTACAAAAACTCAACTCTGTAAATATCTTTTCTATATAATATCGGTCAGGGCGAAACCAAGCCCCACAATGAGAGTTATATCAATCAGATCAGTAAGGAAGGTTTTTACACTAATATATAAAACGTATCTGTATCTTCAGGGAGGCATTGATGTGTATACTAATCAGTCATGTACGTACCTGTAGAAAAGGGCGTACTGTTCCCTATAAGATGACTTTCCGACACGTTTACTTTTCACCAATTCATACGGAGTAATTCTGGTTGAGGAAATACAAATAAAAATTGCGTTTTTTTTTTTTTATAATGGAAAAATCGTAAACTAAAAAAGAATCAATATGATTTATAATAAACGAGCGTAACAAGTGTTTTTTTTCTGTATTTCGCAACATACTTTTTAGTATTCGGCTGATTTTCGAACCAAAATTGATTAAAATTAAAAGAAAAGTTTGTACCCCATATTTTTGCAATGTATAATACTGTAACGTAATTGTGTATTGACAAAAGTGTAAGACAAGAAACGTTGTCCCAGATAAAAAATTCTTAAAAGAATTGGGTTACATGTAGAAGAAAGAAAGCATATAAAACACATTGACGGGGTCTGGTCCAGGCATATTAGCCTCTTATCAGACTCCATAGTTACCCCTAGACCAGACCCCTAAACTAACCCCCGAACCAGAATCCCTCAGCACTTAACCCCGTATCAAACCCTTATACCTACTCCTGGACAATCTANNNNCCCCCCCCCCCCCCCCCTTGAGTTTACTCTTTCCCGCAGACCTTACCCAACACCTACTCGTTGATAAAATCCTATCTTTCAGGACTTGATATTTTATGAAAAGCTAGAAATAACGTTAACGTCAATTTGTTTTCTTTCTCCTACGTGTAACTACCATTTCAACTCATGATCTTCATGGATTTAATTACTACAACCATGACCATTTGTCAAACCCTTACACCAGAGTACAGACACAATTTGATTAGGTTTAAACATTAACAGATATTCTCAAAAGATTATCCCACGTCACGTCATGTTTCCTTCCGCATCAGTTGATATTCCTTTAGGGCGCAGACGTACTTATTGATCATTTTGTGCAGTTTCCGGAGAGCTTTCCCTCGGGAGTCCCGGACTTCCTGGATAAGGATGATGTCATACTCCAGGACAATCTACGACAAAGACGAAACACCATGCATTTTATGGTAACATGCTTCGTAATGTTGTCAAAATTGGGATTCGTGGCAAAAAGTCAGTTACAAAAATCATAAACACATCAGTTATTAGCTTAAATAAAACACACATTCCAAGGTAATATCACCCAAAACTAGGGCAAAGCACCAAATAGGAGGACCAATCACACAACATGAGGACAAGATATGTGGGAAGACATCAGTACGCTAGCAAACAATACCAGGTACAAAATATTTGTTAGAAACAGTAGCGGGATCCAACACAATCTTAATACTTTCATTATTTTTTCGTTCAAAAATACCTGTTTGAGGATTTTGGCGACCTCTGGTTTCCTCATTTTTGACCTCCCGAACGACTTTACGTTAAATGCACAAATACGGATATGTTGTCCGTGGAACGGTCCCGTCCCCCGCCATCTCCAGTAATGCTTGTCCTTGGTCCACGTAGTTAATCCGTCCCCGCCCCCCGGGAGCCCCAACAGTACTCCCCACAGTAGGGTTAACCCCACCAGGGACACAGAGACGCGGTATGTTTGTGATATCATACTACTGGTAGTATAACACACACAACAAGCAGCACACCGTAAGTTCAGAACCACATTTGAAATGGTGACCTTTTTCTTGATTATTTATTACGATAATTGCCTCGCTCGCATACTTACCTGTACGCATGTTCATCAGCAAAAAGCACACAATCGCTTATTAGTTAATTAGCGAGTTCCGTCACGTGACATTAACTACAGGTGCTAAATCATCTTTCTGGTCACACATGAAGGATATAAACAGGTGACAGGTATATGGAGTGATCCACAGACGTTTTACTATAGGGATAGCAGACATGACTAACACTCAGCGCATTGTTTTAATCTGTAAATGACCAGGCATATCATTGTTTCTTATTGTAATCGAAAGTCAGGCCCATTTTTTATATATGAAAGATACTTTACAATGCCCCCACGACGTCTCTCATCATTGTCATTCATCTTATTAGGAGTTCATTATTCGAATATCTAAACCAGCTTTGAATTCGTAATTCAAGATTCTTAATAACTAATTCTAATCTAGAAAAACGTATCTCTAACTATCAACATGTTTTTATTGCATTTTATCCCTGTGACCTTGAATGAAGGTCAAAGACAATTCTCTTGGATACCTTTTGTAGCCAAGCATGCACGTATGCTTAATGTCAAGCCTGTATGTATCTTGTTATCTAAGTCCGTGATATTACATATATTCGTCTCTGAGCACATGTACATCTTTAATTGCCTCATCCATAGGAAAAACATTCATAGTTTAAATTGTAAAAATCGTCATTTATATGTATGAAGCACTTTCCTTATACATATCAATATAACTAACAGTAGTCACTGACGACGGAACATCCCGGTATATAGACTGTTAATGTGGGCTAGCCAACAGGGACCTGCTAATTTGTTACAGCTAAATAATTGGACCTAAAACTATGGTGTTCAGAGTAATTTCACATGTCTTAGGGGTTTAGGTAAAAATGTCCCCCCATTTATAATCAGTGGGGTAATCAATTTTACACCACACGTTTAAGAGAATGTCCTAATGAGTAAACTTAAAATACTCCAAGGTCATAAAATGACGAAGATGATCATGGCTTTTTTCTCTCAGGTGATGCATTTGTATTGATTGTGGTTTTGTGGTTTGCATAAAGTGCAACACAATATGTGATAGTGCTTACACATTCTGTATATGCATAATCTCGCTATCTAGCTTGACCATATAGTTTATTTACTTACGTTATAACGATTGGAAATTCACTTACCATGTCATATGAATCATTTAAAATTTGAACTTTTAGCTCTTTGAAGTTTACAAAAAACATACAAACAACACGGTATCTTGTTTCATAAAAAGAAAAAATGAAATCCAATGTCCTCTGATCATGCCAATATATTTAAATATTCACAGCTTTGCTACTTTATGAATGATTTGTCTTATTGGTTTTTTTTCTATATATATCTTCAGTCCGACTGAAGAAGACGTGGAAGGCAGATTTGATATTTTATTTGGTATATATATATATGTTGTTGAGATTTATTTTTATTTTTTCTAGTATTTTTTCGTCCGTAAGGATCAACTTACTTACTGCTGTTGTTATATATATAGATATTATGGGCACTCACCTGTCCTTTGATCTCCTTGAGCTCATACCAAGACTGTNATCTTTAATTGCCTCATCCATAGGAAAAACATTCATAGTTTAAATTTAAAAAATCGTCGTTTATATGTGTGAAGCACTTTCCTTATACACATAAATATAACATACAGCAGTCACTGACGACGGAACATATCATCGAACGCACGGTCGAAGCTTCCCGGTAAATAGGCTGTTAATGTGGGTTAGCCCACAGGGACCTGCTAATTTGTTACAGCTATATAATTTGAAATAAAATATAAAACTATGGTGTTCAGAGTAATTTTACATGTCCATGGGGTTTAGATCGACTTTCGGTAAATATATCACCCCATATATAATCAGTGGTGGTGGCCATTTTACACCACACGTTTAAGAACATGTCCTATATTATAAAACTTAAAATACTCCAAGGCCATGGCATTAAAAATGGTGATGATGATCATGTGTTTAAGTGCAACACAATATGTGACAGTGCTTACGCATTTTATTTATGCATAATCTCGCTATCTAGCTTGACCATAAAATTTATTTACTTACGTGATAACGATTGGAAATTCACTTACCATGTCATATAAAATCATTTAAAATTTGAACTTTTAGCTCTTTGAAGTTAACAAAACCATAAAAACAACTTGGTGTTTCGTTTCATAAAAAGAAAAATGAAATCCAATGTCCCCTGATCATGCCAATATATTTTTATGAAAGAAAATATTCATAGCTTTGCTACTTTGTGAATGATTTGTCTTATTTTTTTTCTATATATATCTTCAGTCCGACTAAAAAGACATAGAAGGCAGATTTGATATTTTATTTAATATATATATATATGTTGTTGATATTTCTTTTTTTTCTTCTAGTATTTCTTCGTCCGTAAGGATCAAATTATTGCTGTTGTTATATATATAATATATTATGGGCACACACCTGTCCTTTGATCACCAAGAATGTCCCTCATCATGACCCTCGTGGGACACCCCAGAAATAAAAGAGGAAAAGAGGGCTTGAGGCCATTGTTGTTAAATGTAAGTTGGAAGATTACGTAATCTAACCCCTTGCCATCCTCGATATCAGGGGTTACCCTTGCCCACCTGCTGACATCCCTTTGTGTTTTGGGGCCTCCTGTTGACAGCACTGGACACAGTGTAATTTATCTACAGAAGAATTTCACACCGACCATTATAGAGATTAGAGTTAGAGACTTAAATACTATAATATGCTTTATATGTCTCTGCACCTAGTAGTGAAGCGGACGTAAAACCTATCAATCAATCAATCAATCAATCTGCACCTAGGTAGGTTTCGGGAGTGAATCCAGACGATTTTCGTTGTTGAACAGATATTTGAACTTATGCATATCCACATGAAGAAAAAAGATTATTTTTCATCTCACAATCATATTACATTCTCGAGATAAATAAAATTTAGCACAACATATAAGAGTTGCATAAAATTAAATATGTAACTGTTACTACATGGCTTTTTCCATCGACTTAATATGTAATTATACGGTAGGTAAGAGTGGATATTTAAAATATGCCGTACATGTTATTGCAGACACAAACGTTGAAATAGTTAAGTTAAGTTAAAACATTAACGTACCGTTTTTTGGACCGTAGCGGTACAACATGCTGCCGTTCACCGACGACGATAAGACGGAACAGGTTTTTACTGTAGAGTAAAGGAAGTGATTGAAACCTGATTTTCCAGCTAAAATGTAGAATACAAATGTGTAAATCAACAACACAGAAAGCATTGTTGTTTGATTTCCCCGTATTATTTTATTCAGCAATTTTCTCATTAGTGTTCAGAAACAGGTCCTGCAATGCTACCAGTATGCGTTATAATTACCATTTTCAGATTCTTCAGTTTGGTCACGGAATTAGATTAGATTAGACTATCTAAGTCTGTGGTTTGGTTTCCGTTCAACCCACTGTCCGAAACTTGTGGCTGTAATCTACAGCTGTACATGTATACTTTCTCATTTATTAGCCTGATCTGATCCCTTAAAACTCAACCTAATTCGCAATCTTACAGCCGTTAAACTTGTGACGTCATAGCCAAAAAGTGTCCCATTCACCGGAAGTCAAGATTATGCTAAGTAGTCATAGAAGGACAGGTGCAAATCGTACAATTAATGCGTCAATATCTCCGCATTGGGCAGATCGATTTTCTATGCGGTTTTCGACATTTTTGTTTTTTGATTATATATTCATTTCTGTTTGCAAATGTACGCCGCCTATTCCACCATACGCGATCCCGTTGTATTGCAACTAAAGAACAAGTTATCATATTATATGAGTCATGCATAAGACAGCGATGGATTTTTCGTTTTTATGTAAATAGAGAGGTGTAAATAAGATCCCGTCGCCATTTTGAAATTTTGACCAAATAGCACAATCATCGTATTTGAATTGTAATACGGATTTGGTAGAAACTTCATAACCGATCAAAATACGAATCAGCATTCAGCCTACAATATAGGAGTCTAATGACGCGATGAATCCCAGAACTATATTTAACGGCTCTGGCGAAAGACAATCATGAGAGTTTTGTAAGTAGGAATCTGGATCCCTTTCCCACTGCAGGTTTAAATACAGTTACCTCCCCTTGATTGGATTTTACTGTAGCGCGACTTTGTCAGTTTTATACGTAGCTCAGTTGGTTATTAAGAGCGACAGTTTAGATCGATCGATCAATCAATCTATCAACATTTTTTTCAGTGTCACGCATCACATCACATGTAACGTATACAGATAAAAATATTTACATTGCTGACAAAAGATATCAATTAAAATACGTTTTCAAGATTAAAATTGATACAATGTCCAGCCGTAATCGGCTTATGTGACACTTTATCATTATCTACATAATTTACACAATTAGGTTTATTTTATCTAGTCATTAAAACTATGTTGACGCCTATATTTAAACATGAGGGTAAAAAGCGACTTTTCAAGTAAAACATTTAAGTCATTAGATTGCATTGGAAATAACTTTTGATGACTATTGAGATTAGCAAAATTATTATTATATACTATTGCCATATTGTGTCGTTCCCCTTTAATGTTTTCACAAGTAGGACAGTCACACAGAAAATGTTCGCCATTTTCAACAGTGTTTGGACAGAAAGGACAGTTTCTCTCCAGTGGTATGTTCTGAAACCGACCAGTCTCGACCGTAAAGGGAGGCAACCAACTCTCAATTTAGCCAATGTGCTTCGATAACCTCTCGGCAAATTACACAAAACGTAATAATCCGGAGTCCAGCGTTCTAAGTTTATTTTGTTGGCCGTTTTATCTGACCACATATATGTAAACCAAGTTGTTTCATCCACCCTCCTGAATTGTTTCTTGATTTCACACAATTTATATTTATTAAGTTTTCCAGATAGTTTTCTGGCTCTGGATTCCAAGGAGTTACCACGACGTGAAGACCAATTATAAACTTTTACAATAGTCTATTACTATCCGTATTTACTAGATGGACATATGTATACAGTCTATATACTTCCGATCGCTGTTTTTGTCAGACAAGAAGACCATCCCATTTCGCTGTGGCTCCCAGTATTAGATGCTCGTTTACTTACGCCGAGAAAGTTTCATCGCACGGTTTTAAATGTTATTAATCAATCTGTGGTCTGTCTGACTCCAGATTTCTGAGCCATATGATAACATAGGCTGGACTACGAATTCAAAGAGTATAGAGATAGAATAATCGAAGGTCTAGGGTGTCTATTCAGGTCTAGCCACATCGATTTTTTATGCTAACGACACTGTTGTAGGTTTTTTAAAACCCTAACCCTAACCCTAAAACCCATCTACTTCTCTGCAACCATAAGTCATATTTTTTTTATTAGATTCTGTATATGTAGTTGAAGTATGGATTTTAAAATGACTATTCCTTTGGAATGGAGGCCCATACTCTCGGCTAACCTATACCGGATCTAATACGTATACCCTACAGTTAATTACATGTGTCCTAGCTAAAGGGGGTGTACACATTTGTAAAAGACCTGTTGCTTTCACATTACCAAAACATCGAGAAAAAGTCGCAAGGGACAAAAGAAAAAGTCGAGATAAAACGGCGCAAGACTATAACACGACGTCGGGATAACCTAAAAAAAATTACTAAAACACGACGTCGAAATAAACTGACACGTGTCAAAAATACAACGTGAAAACAGAAACGAGTACCGGCGATGCATGGGCATAGAAACATAGGATACAAGCTAGTCGTTGTGATTAACTGTCTTATTTCAAGGACACGAGCTTACATAAGATCCAAAATCTTCGTCGCAAAAACGAACATCAGACCAAACCTGACATCGAAATAAACTCACATAGCACCAATACACTACGCCAAGATGTGATAATCTATCAAAGGACTAAAAGGTTAGGTCGAGATAAGCTGACATCTGTCCAAAACTCTAAGTCGAGACAAAGGACAAACAATTAAGCGTTTAAATCAACTGACATATTACCAAAATACGACATCGAGATAAACAAACATAGGACCAACGCTTTGCTTTGATATCGACTCAAATAGGATCAAAATAAGACGTCGAGATAAATGACATACAAACGTAGTACCATAACTCGACGTCGAGATAACTGACATACCTGACATCACAAATGTAGTAACAAAACACGACGTCGAGATAACTTACATAGAACCGAAACACGACGTCGAGATAACTTACATAGAACCAAAACACATGTCGAGATAACTGACACAGGACCAAAACACGACGTCAAGATATACCGTGTGTTCAATGATTTCGTCGCGTCATGACAAAGTGAAATAACTTTCAGGGAAATGTTTAAAGTTTTTATGCAAATTCTATTTATTTTTTTCTAATTTCTGAAACATTTTTTTTTCGTTTTGTCCTGAGCAAGCTACATTTAACAAAAGAATGGTGTATATCGTTCATATAATGAGCCAGTTACCTTACGGTCTAATGACCAATAGTTTCTAAAAATAGCAAATGACAGTGCAAAACTTTGACCAACACTACTATCTACGTTTTCACCTGTCGGTCAAATGTTCAATTCGTAACAGCGACATGTATTTCAACGTAAGTGGTCACAAACCGCTGATGGTGAAGAATGGCCTCGCTCCCGCAGTGATCAAAACGAGGTTAATCGGTACTAATTAGTGGTATCTAAAGCGACCTTACAATGGGTCACGTCCCGGCTGCTTTCCTTTGTCAAGTACTTTGTGAAGGGGCCGCTTAGGGAATGTTAACACAGATTTTGTACAACCAAATGATTACAACAAATCTTATCAAAAAATTACATATTTGTTTTTAACCATTAACCGGAAGTGGCGTCGAACCCTTCCAAAAGCGATATCGCATCGGCCTGTAGACCTCTATGTAATTGCTGATACTTACTCAGTATCGGGTTTATATATCTACATGATGCGATATGGACACAGGTTTAAAGTTATATTGAAATATGAATGATGTTTATGTCATAAATCATATCAGCGTAACGAGCCTCCTTGCCAAATTATCACCTAACTTTACCCCCAACAATTCCTAACAGTAATATATATCTATTTAGCACTTCAATCTCTAATTCAAATAAAAACTACATTTTTAATAAATTGCGCACACGTGCTGACATTAATCAAACGGAAGCATGCGAGATAGCAATTTTGACCGGAAGATTTTGATAAATGAAGTTTGTGTTTGAATTTCCCCTCGGTGGCCCCAGACGGAACACCAAGTTAAGCCTTTCAGGATACGATATTCAGACTATAGCCCAGTCGGCCGGGGAGGACTCATCTTTTCACTTGTTTAATTATTAATTTACAGAGACGAAAATGAAGATTTTCATTGTGATTTCAGTCGTGCTGTTGAGCAAGTGTTCCGAAGGTAAGTGTGCACATTTCAAGATATCGTAAGACCGAATTAAACATCAGAATGTTCATTTTGATGATATGGATATTGTTTAGGTTTTAAACGTCGGCCCTGTACATTATAGGTGATGTCTTACATAACGCTACACAAGCTCAATAGGGGGCTTAGAGTATCAAATGTATAAAATAACTTTACTGAATCCAATCTAGGTCAGTGAATATTATGTGTATAGATGTGTAATGTTTGCAAACATATGCATCAAAAGGTGGGATTATAGGATAAATATTAATAAAAGAATGTTTTCATGCTTTGCCGATTTTATATTAAATCTGCAAGCTTTTTATCCCCATTTTTTTTGTGGTTTGGGACGCACAACATGCTTTAATGCTATCCATAACTTTATATACATTTTAGTTAAGCATTAAAACGTAATTTGAGAAAAATTTTAAATATATTTAAATAGTGTCCGTCTAAAACAGTTTAATAATGCAAAATTCGTCATCGAAAGCGGTGTCTNAAAAAAAAAAAAAAAAAAAAATGTTTTATATAAGGAGACGGTGTCGGGGAGAGGGATGTCCGGTAAGGACCATAGGGACCTGAGAATGTTACAGCTGTTTTAGGACCCAAACCGAGGTGTTCAGGGTAATTTTACACGTTTTAGGGGTTTTGACCAACTGTCGGTGAAATATTACCCCTAAGAATAGTATGTACCATCTTTGGGGGTGTCATTTTTACTGAAACTTGACCTGCGCTTCTAAAACGTGTAGAATTACTGCGAATACCTCCTTTTAGATCCAAATATATTGTCTGTAACAAAGTCTCAGGTCCCTGCGGAAGGGACTCACATCGCTTTATTTGAGTTATTATCTGGCTTAAAACAGATCACATCTTTTGAAAAAAATGATACAAAACTACTTATTAAACGTCTCCATTCCTACATCAAAATGTACGCTGTTACACGTACAATTTTGTACTTTAGACCCTCTCGATGTTGTTGTTAATTGTGATATCTTTCATCGTTTATCAACGATGAGCAGCATCAGAGGTCAATCAGGTACATACAGTACACTGAGGTGGCCTATTGGTGACGTGTGACCAGCTGGGGTTCGTGGTTTAAAGTACACCTCTTGAGGTCTGAATGGGTGAAAGTCCAGCAGAGGACCTTGTGGTGTCCGTGCGGTTTATTTCATGTGGTGACATAAAACGATGCGATGTTTTGTGAAAGTTGACATGTTTGTCGTGTCGTCTACACTTTGGGTACCTCGTGTTGTCTAGACTTTGGGTACCTCGTGTTGTCTAGACTTTGGGTACCTCGTGTTGTCTAGACTTTGGGTACCTCGTGTTGTCTAGACTTTGGGTACCTCGTGTTGTCTAGACTTTGGGTACCTCGTGTTGTCTAGACTTTGGGTACCTCGTGTTGTCTAGACTTTGGGTACCTCGTGTTGTCTAGACTTTGGGTACCTCGTGTTGTCTAGACTTTGGGTACCTCGTGTTGTCTAGACTTTGGGTACCTCGTGTTGTCTAGACTTTGGGTAACTCGTGTTGCCTAGACTTTGGGTATCTCGTGTTGTCTAGACTTTGGGGTACCTCGTGTTGTCTAGACCATGGGTATCTCGTGTTGTCTAGACTTTGGATACCTCGTGTTGTCTAGACTTTGGGTATCTCGTGTTGTCTAGACTTTGGGGTACCTCGTGTTGTCTAGACTTTGTGTACCTCGTGTTGTCTAGACTTTGGCTACCTCGTGCTGTCTAGACTTTGGGGACGTCGTGTTGTCTAGACCTTGGGTACCTCGTGCTATCTAGACTTTGGGTACCTCGTGTTGTCTAGACTTTGGGTACCTCGTGTTGTCTAGGCCTTGGATACCTCGTGTTGTCTAGACCTTGGGTACGTCGTGTTGTCTAGACCTTGGGTACCTCGTGCTGTCTAGACTTTGGCTACTTTTTGTTGTCTAGACCTCCGGTGCAAAGAGTTATCAACTAATAGGGAAATGTAATGGCTGATATACATCGACTAAGAAACATACCGTGCTAGTATTACATGTATATCATCACGTACACAGATACTCGCTGAACATACAATATGTATCTATTATAGATATGTTCGCGTTTGTGTTGTATTTTCAACTTTGAAATGCCACGTACATGATTATAGAATTGTGCCAGGGTCTTCATAATAGAAATTTACAAAACAGATTGTTTATTTCTTCATTTTAATGTGAGTTCCTTGGACTACAAATAAGTATTTGTAATAGCATTTCCGCAATACCAACTGATCAGACTATTCTAGAAATGTCAGTCAAGCTCATGCATTTAGATTTATCTAATTATACGGCTTAATAAATAAATTTCTTTTTCAAAAACGCCGACCTGCGTCATCTCCGACAGTTGTGAATAAAACAACGTAACAAATTATTCTAGAGACTCTACCGATTGCCCGATTCCTTTCAGACTATATCGGAGTTTTACACCTAGTTTCTAGACAACCTGCCTCATGGTATGTGAGACGTTTGACTTTGGTGCGTCGTTGTTGAGGTCTGCTGGTCAGTTCAAGTGAGAGTGATTGCAGTACACGAACCTACTCCGACGTTATAACGAGAGCTGATAGTGACCGACATTGTAATCTGTATTGTTTTATTTTTTATTTAATTCACTGATTACCCTTGCAGTTTAACACATGTACACGTTATAACGTATCTCCTGGGAAGACGGATACACAACAGGGCGTATACTGGTAAAATGTCGCCTCTCCCCCCTCCTTCCGAACCTTCACTGAACCGTGCTATCGGAATGACCTTTCCCTTTAATCTCGCTACAGCGACATTCCAACACGGATTTTCTTGTTCCGTAACATGCAAGTATTGGATAAGAATACTATTTATGTCTCCGGATGATTCCAATATTTCTAAAGTCACGTTAGCTTGCTTACACCTAAACACGCAGTTTACATATGGTCTTCAATAACAAATAATTACAATCCACAACTAAAATTATGGTCTCACGAAGTCAAAATGACTTTTTGATTATTAAGCACACTTGCGTACAGTTTTTTCTTAAATAAAGGAAAGGCATGTGTTTTCACCGATGCGTTCGCCACCCTAACACAACTTTGAACGTCCGTCCCGGGCCTATATTTATCGACACCACGTAACGTGGAATTACGCAATCGTTGTAAATTGAAATGGCAGCCTGAATTTTCACTTTATTTTTTCCAGATTTAAACTTACAGGTAGCTTTAAATGCCAGAATCCAAATGTGCATCTTTTTTGATAAGGAGCTAAATTGAGGTAGAGCTAAACGTTTCAATTACTCTTTTTATATCTGAAAGTTCAAGACTGATTTTAAATTAAAACTTAAGAAGGACGAAGCGCAGAGTTAAATGTGTCGTTTCATGCATGTCGGTAATAAGCAGAGGTGGATTGAAAGAACATTGTAGGGTACTCGTTAAAATACCGTCAACCAATGATTTCGAAAGTCAAAAAATATGATCTAGTTATGTCTAGATACACCTATACACGTTTCCCATGCCGTAAAATCTCTGAGGGACAATCGGGAATTGTCGGCACTTTCCGTAAACGGAAAATATTTTCTCATATACGGAAAGTGCCGACGGTTCCCGATTGCCCTGAGCAAATTACGATCGTACGAAACTACATATTTACAGCTGCCTCAGCGTATCAAAACACGGAGGGGGATACGAAATTAGTTCCCCGAGGAACCAAGGAAACTTTGATGATTTCTATTTTTGCGGGAATTATTGTACAGAGTGTAATAAGTGTTTTTTTCAATTTTAAAATATTTTATTGACAATACAGCATCCTTACAGGTAAAACAGAGACAGGAAAACCACACATGTATCAACACGATCATTAGAAATATCACCCCTTTCCTAAAGAAAGCAATTTACTTGAGGGAATCAATGAAAGGCCATGATTACAAGTGAGTTTCTTGAAGAAATCGGAATTCAAAGTGTGAAAATGGGCTATACTGTTATACACATATTAGTATCACTGGTCGGGAGGGTTGAAATAAATAATTTTGAATTCCGAAAATACCGGACAGTCATCTTTATTTTAATGTTTAAATGTACTCAATTATGATTTCTGGGCAGTCGTCCGTTTTGTAATTTAGAACTGGCGCCTCGACTTCCGGGGAAGAAAAATAAAAACAAATGATAGACGTACTTCTTAATTTATCTTTTATAAGAAACCTTGTGCAGGTACCGGGAGTAAGGGATAACAATGCCATATCTATTTAAACATCTGACGTCAAAGNAACAAATGATAGACGAACTTCTTAATTTATCTTTTGTAAGAAACTTTGTGCAGGTACCGTGAGTAAGGGATAACAATGCCATATCTATTTAAACATCTCACGTCAAAGATTTCGCTTTATGGAATTTGTCACTTTCTACATGTAGATGGGATTAATATTGACACGGACTTAGATAATCTAATTCTGTGATATTGACAATGAATGTCAACTGAAAGCAGTTCAACCATAACAAGTGATTTTAAATCTCGTAGAAAATAAAATTGATTCACCCAACTAAACCTCATTTGTCAGATGGGGTCGTCAAATGAAGTCCATAGGGTTCAATAATTGTCTTAGATCTCGTAAATAAAATTGATATTCACGAGAGATGGCTGGTATTAGAAGGAGCACAGATTACTCAAACTTTGACGGTATACACGTATGTGACGCAAAAGGGACGTGTAATTGTCATGCATCCATGTTCTTGTATTTTTGATTGCATTTACCTTGCACGTGCAGACCGTCCCAGTAACATTCATGGGGTACACCAAAGGGGCCTGATCATTCCTAACAGCTATATTTGGACCTACACGTTTTAGGGGTTTATATCCACTTTCGGTAAAAAAGCAACCCCCAAATGATGATATATAAGAAAGTTAAGGGGGTCGATTTTTCGAGCTTTCCACTCTTCTCGTATGTATCATTATATAATTCATTAGAAAATGAAGAAAATGTCTGATTTTCATTCTGTTGAAGAGTAATTTCAAACAGAAATATATTTAATCTAAAAGTGGATGAGAATGCAGATATTTTCTACTGGTTATATTCTCCATTATACAATGTATACCCCTAGTGTACCAAAGATCAACAAGTTAGGTGTAATCTCTCAATTAACCGAGCAATTATAACACAGGACAAACTAATTACATAATTGTGCGACTTATAATAAAGAACTTTTGATATGATATCTAAACTTTACAAAGCAGTTCCTGTAAGTCCGAGTTGTTGGGGAGATACCAGAAATGAGTAAACATGATTGGGAGTAAATTTATATATACATGTAACGTTACAGTCCACAAAACGTTTGTACTGTAAATACCATCACTGAAATCTAGTTACTATTTTGTTTCAGAATGAAATAAAGGACTTTAAGCAAATGATAATTACACGAACATCTACCCATATCCAATGAAATGAAGAAAATGCACATTGAAGCAGCTACCTCTGCAGGTCAGGGGAACGGGAAAAAAATACACCTGCTGTTACCCACTGCATTTATAGTAAAAGGCGACTAATGTGGGAACCCCATGCAGAGTTGGGAGTTTGCTTTCTCTCCCCCTCCCCCCACCCATACTAGGGGACACAAAAGCGGCAAAATAAACCAGTTGCATACATTGCAATATTTAGGATCTTTACATTTCTTTCTACTTCTAACATCTTTCTTTTCCTAGTGCCTTGCTTTGCAAATACATCATTTTTCGTTTTATGTTGAGCGTTTGCCCAGGTGAGGAAGACAATGGGTTCTGTCCCCAGGCCGGAACATACCAAGGTCCTTAAAAATGGTAGTTGTCATTCCCTGCTTACGGTCAGCATTAATGGTAACTAGTTCACCCTTTGTCAGTATAATGTGACCGGGCGGAATGGTGTCTTCGGCATGGTATTTCAGTGAGATAGCACTATAAAGGCGGCATAACATCCGCGCTTTCACAAGGAGGCAAATACACCAACATACCCTGTCTCCAGCACACATACACACATGCACGCTTACGCAACACACATAGAGGCACATCCTTAAATGGCATCAGCTGTTGATAGGACGTTAAACAATATAAAACCAAACCAAACCAAACTTGAAGTAGTTAGGCAATCACTGACCTATACTACCGTGCAGAGCATGACATAAATCACAATGATTTAAGATTATAATCAGAAGACCTTATTTTGTTGAGAAGTACGAATTAAGCTGAAACTTACTGTACAAAATCATGAAGAGCAATCCCATTAAAATTCAGTTTTCTAGTTCAATTAAGATACAACACACAGATATTGCTGAAGTGGTTGATTCTTTGTTGAGAACACATTCAATATATGTTGTACATTACAATATAGTTTTGCCTCAGTTAATTTTAAGGGTTTGGAAGTAAAAGTAGCTTTGATCTGTCAAGGTGAAGCCATTTCATTATCTAAGAGTAACATGTTTTGATTGGTCAAGGTGAAGTCATTTCATTAGCTAAGAGTAACATGTTTTGATTGGTAGCGAACTGAAGCACGGATCCGTTACAACATATTATCGGAAAATAAATCTTATGTTTGTCTGTGTTATTCAAGGAATAACAGGCATTCGTAAATAATGGTGGAATATTAAACAAGGCGAGAAAATATTGGAAAAATAATTAACGATGTCCGCTTCGACCCCAGTTTATCATTTCCCAACATATAATATAATATACATATGTATATTAAGTATACGCTAATACGTCATGTGACTAGTGACAGTGAAACTGTGATAAAAAATATCCAAAAATTTGAGTAAAAGACTTTATTCCAGTTAGGGACCATCAGAGTAACTTTTATACTCCAATTAAAGAACCACCAGAGTAAATATGGTACACATTTTTAAGAACAATCACTGTAAACTGATTTCCCCAGTAAATAACCACCATACAGTATCCCGTTAGTATCTTTGTATAGTGAGTATAGCCTGATAACGTTTATTTAAATCGTCATAGGCCTATTTACTTGTAACACTCGTTCTAATAAGATGACTGCTTCGAAATGCGATTGACCTTTGTTTCGATCTTTTTGCAGGCGCCATTAGCCAGGTTTTGGATCAGTGCTGCCTGACAGGGTCTACCTGGGCGGGAGAGCTGAGCCAGAGGTGTGACTCCTACCCTACAGCGGTCGAGGGAGTAGGAGCAGACGACCAACGCGCTTGTCGGGCTATTCTCGAAGTCTGCTGCATGAAAGCAAAACAAAAACAACAATGCGATCGGGGTCACAAAGATGCTTTGGAATTCCCATCTTGCACCACACGGAATGTATTCGGTGCAGAACAGTATCTGGTAAGTCAGCTAATCAAAAATTGAAATGCAGCTTTTAAGATATGTGATGGCATACGAAATAGCACCATTTAGGCATATACTGAAAATTTTGGAAAAACATTCTGAACAGACACGTGTTGCAAACCATGATAGATATTTAAAAGACGCATTCAATTAACACACATAAATGATATAAGAAAATTTATCACCATTGTTGTTGATGTTATTGTTTACTTTTACACAGGAATGTTGTCATTGCTGTCATCTGGGAATGGCTCACCGTGATATGGGCGGTGACTGTAACTATCTGTCAGACGTCGCTTTCGGAGGACCATGTGACCGGAAGTTTAGGGAATGTTGTATTGGCGCAGTAAACGAGACAGGTAGGTTACTAACGTCTGAGTTTCGGAAGCGTTTGTAATATCTAATATTTGTTGAGTTTCAAAATGTAAGTAGAGCACCAATGTATTTAATTAACACAATGGAGTGGCCTAATTCTTGTCACGTCACAATTTGTAAATTTTTAACACGATATGATCTTTTACACATTTTTAACGAATTAATAAAATGCTAGATATTTTAACGAATTAATAAAATTCTAGATAACGTGATATTTGGTAAAATGTACACACATTTTAGTTCTGTATTTAACACTATAGTTTTGAATTAATTCGCACAGAAAAAGATCTCAAATTCCAATACAATGTATCTGACAACGAAACAAGGAACATATACAACTGTTGTTTTGCCTTTTTGACAACTTCACAAGTGTCATATGAATGCTGTTGTTCCTTTCTAAAGATTATACAAGGACCATCCTATGGCCATTGTTCCTTTTGTCAACTTATCAAGAGACATATATACGTAACTGTTTATGTTTCATTGTTGGTTCCTTCGTGACGATTTTAAAGGGACATGTACAGCTGTGCCTGTCTGACAACAGAACAAGGACACATAACCTAAACAACATATACCAGTAGTTTTTTTCATTCTAACAACTAAGCCTCTCTCCCCCCCCCCCCCCCCCAAGAAAATAACCCCACCTATAACTGTTGTGCCTTGTCTGACAACTAAAACAAGATCCTTTAATTGTTTATTTTGTTATTCACTGACAACAAAACTGTTGTTGTTTTATTCTGACGACTTAAACAGGAACTTACAATTGGTGACCCCATCTGACAAATGAACAAGGAACATATAACTCATTTTTTTTGTGTTCCTTTCAGAAAGATAGGCAAGGAACATCTTACAGGTTCTTGTTCGTAATCCTACTGAGTAAATATATAGAAATGTAACCGCGAAAATATAAAACGTGAAAATAAATGGATTTGCAACACATTTACGGTGACACCGCTTAAGGAAGAATTCCAACTGATTTAGTTTAGTTTTTCGCAATATTACCTCAAGTGACACATTTTTCGGGTATCGCAAACATAGCTGTTATCTCGATTTCCCTGTCTCGACATACGAGATAACGAGGTTTGGCAGTTGGTATAGTAATATCAAGTTAAAACCGTATTTTTGTAAACTGTAGTAAGAATTATTATTTGATTCTTGACGTTTAGAAAAAAACTTATAAAGCCGGAGAGTCCATTTGATTGACATTTATTGTAGTTGACAATGACATCGACGAATGTGAGTTACATCCGGGTGTGTTGTGTAGTCACAGCTGTGTGAACACGCTGGGTAGCTACCGCTGTGAGTGTGAATCAGGCTATAGTCTACACAGTGACGCCAGAACGTGCATCCAGGACGACAGCGGTAAGCATGGCACCGAGTGATTTATATATCATCTTGAAATTTTATTCGGCTGTCCAATTGGTTAGACAGAAGAAATATTGGTTGTGACGTCATTATACCTGTAGAGAGCAGCAAAACACGTGTACATATAACACGTATAGTCCATACAACTTGATTCACACTAACAAATAGGCTCAAATTTGTATGATATCCTACGTATTGTATATCTTGCAGCATTAAACCTTTACACTGTAACCATGTTAGACGTTAAAAGTCAATCGGAACAGCCGATACTTGATATAAATATCAGAAATGAGAGGACAGGTAATCATATCTTGTGAACATACATTGTAGCATATTTTAAATTTCTTCCAAATGTATTAACTTGTATAATTTAATCCGTTTGATGTATACAGTTTAGATGTGATTTTATGGTCAGATTGAGTCCATACTTTTTTAACACCTGTGTTTCCTACTCTCACAAATATCAAATGTACTACGTCATGCAAATATGAATTAATGATGAACCAACTTCTAGCTTAAGATTTTTTTTCTACCAGGAATTAATTGTTCCCTGTACGACCCTTGTGAACATCGATGTGTGGACGATACTACCGGTGTGCGCTGTCAGTGTAACTCCGGCTACCAGCTGGACGTGGACGGTGTCTCCTGTCAGGGTAATTTAGACACGGGAGGGTTATGAGGGGTTTTTACTCTCTCTTTGACACATGACCCCGTTTCTAGCACAGAAATCTAGATATTTCAGACAAATAATAGTTTCCAGGAAATTTTGCTGAATTGCAGGAGCAATTTTAAATAAGAAAACAGTCTGTCCCCCAAAACACCTTGCAGAATCATGACTCAATCGCATGTGGAGAAATAGAAAGTATCCGCCATATATTGAAAACGAATCGCCATTTTAGGTATATGTGTTCACAAAGAGTACATATCACATTCAAATAAAACTACCATAAAATAAATGAGTAGGCATACATTTGCCGATATTCAAATTCCAAATACACATTGTGAATTCAGAGGAATTCTCGTCAAGGACCGTTGTCAATTATTTTAAACAACACCTTGACAAGACCAAGACTAATTGTGCCTTACATCGTTTTGGTCTTCTCAGAAACCTTCAATGCTATTTGTTTCATGTAAGGATTTACAGATTCTGGATGTTTCTATTGGTTCTGTATCGTGTATACGGTAAGAGCATATGAAATCACAAACGCGCCACTGAAAGTAAGGATACTTACACAGATCATGAATACGTAGTCATTACCGTGCTATTTAGTCCACAGCTTGCTTATATATCGATGTTGTTTTCCCAGACATTGACGAGTGTGCTCGTGGGACGTCTAACTGTGTCGGTGACAAGAGATGTATCAACACGGAAGGCGGATTCAGCTGCGAACCCATCACCGTGCCAGTCAACCAGTGCCCGGATGGGACGGAGTATGACGTGGCTTCCGGTGAATGCCAACCCATAACGACTGAAACTTGTGACCCTGGATATGCTTTCAACACCGTGACCGAGGCTTGCGACGGTAATGTACAATAGCATGTTTGACAGGCCTGGAGTGAATGCGACTTACGAAATCAGGTTTCATCTAGTCTCAAGATAACAAAGATGTCGCATTTTGCTATGCAAAAAGGCTGGCAGATGAAGAACATTTCCGGACCAAATTTATTCAGTAAATAAGACACAATGTCTTTCGACATCGTCCTTGTGGAAGAGTTTAGTTTATGATGTAATTAAGATATAGAGTGGGCACTACTGTGAACCGTGCGTACATGATTTGTTTGAGTGTGATAGGTGGAACTAGTGGTTGGAATTTTTATCATAATATTCTATTCCTACAACGCTATACAAAAGTGTAGAGTTGGTCAGTTGTGTCTTCTTCTTTTTTTATTCATTGGAGTGTTTGGCTTTATAAACAGTCAAATAATGGTAGGGTGCTATTATCGAAGTGTTCCGTCCCTCCTGTAAGCAGGTATGTCGAAATGAAGTTTATGTTATGTTAATCTGGGTATAAATCTACCACGGGACACGTTGAACGGCCAATCGTGTGTGAGTTATTAAGTTGTATTGAGTGCCCGGATGTTCGGCGATGTTAATTGGTATTCAGAGGAAAATCTAGGAAACGAGACCAAAAGTTTTATTGGCATTATTAAACGAGAAAATATGGTAAAAATCTTGATTTTGAAGGAAAACTGATGTTTTCCCTTGAAACCTTTGGTTATACCACTGCAGCAGTACGATAAGATGTGACGTAGTTTTCTTGGGTTGCACGTGTTTGCTGACGATGTTATGGGTAATCTTTTTTAGACCTGGACGAGTGTACTGTATTCCTCCATAACTGTTATGGGGCCTACATGCTGTGTATGAATACCCCTGGTAGTTTTACCTGTCGCTGTGATGAGGGCTTCTCTTACAACAACCGCTCTATGAGCTGCCAGGGTAAATCTTGCCTATACACTGTGTAGAATAGCTCGCTAACCCTCGTCACGCCACACACTCGGAGTTATCTCCCTTTGATCTTTTCTCAATATGTTTATGGATTATTAGCAGCCTTACTGTGACGATTAACGGTCCATCGACAACTATGGTTATTTAGGGCCAAACTTATCCTTTTATATAGGGCAAACATTTGAAAACCAACATTGAAATTGTATAAAATCCCGTAAGATAAGCTTGCAAAGTTAAAAACATTCTATCATAATATGCTCCAATGTAAACGGGGAGTCAGATGTCCGGCATATAGGTCTCCCCTATTCAGCAGATAGACATGTGTTAGATAAGTATGACTAGTACGGAGCCGACAGAGGACAAGCTCCTCTCCGTAATGTCTCCGATTGGACAGACAATGTTGTGACGTGTTGTTATATATACTCGTATTTGGCGATTCTGAATAAGGAGTAAGTTAATTGAATTATTTAGCCCAGAATCCGTAATTCGCTTCTGATCTCTTCTGAGTAATAAAGACGTAATGGGTGAAGGAATGTGGCCCCGGCCGTCTATTGGGATGTCATTACTTTGACCAATGTAACATCTTCATCTCCTGTTTGCAAATTACGGTGACGCTTAGAAAGTATAGACGGATTTTATACAGTTAAATTATTTTATTATTTTGTGTTTTAGTGTTGTGATTATATGCATATTTTTTTTTTTTGTGTACAGAACTTGGTCATTTAAAAGTATAATACTGACAAGTGTCCAGACACGATATATCCTGTAGACGTTCGCTCCTAGCAAACATTGGTTGTCGAAATCACAATGACCCCTCGAGAACCAAGGCTTTAACTGAACTGTATCAGTATGGTAACTTAACACGTCTTACACACACACTTCAGGTATCGTTGTACCCACCGCTGAATCGAAGCGGCGGCCAGTCCATCTTCTTAGAAATGTTACGGTATGACTTGAAGAAACTCGCAGGTAGCAGTAGAAAAAATCTCTTCGAGCAAAGGGCACATAACTCCGAGTCCGAGCACCACTGCACCATATAGGATCTAGCACTAACTAACACACATACAGGATGTACAGCTGGTTTACGCTTGTATGTTAGCCAAGCTTGCTTTATTGAATGTCTAGAATCCAATATTGATGACTGCAATGGGTCAATAGTAGTTGGTGTTAATAATAGTTCTATGATACTGAACTTAGAGATGGGAGAAGACGTTTGCTATTGAAGAATCTTTATTTGATTAAAGAAAAATGTAGATATTTTAAAATCTGTGTTTAAAAAATTGAGTTATGTTCTATGCATAAACATACCAGTTCTAGATCACCATTTAAACATACAGGAGTTGTGTCCCTTGGTTGAATGGAGTTCGCTTATTATGCAATTATTTTATTAACAACTGTCAATATTGAATTATCAATATTATTATCTTAACCTTTTCATTTAAATTAACGCATTAGTTTATTTATTTGATAATGTAAAAAATAAACAACATTTGTATACATCATGATATATCGGGATAAAATATGAGACATTTATCAAAGATTATTTTACAATAATTCAAAATGCTGAATTACAATCTTTGGAATATGTTTAAAATATGAATTTTCTGAATAGGGTTACTTATTATGCGTTTTCCTTGTTTTGCGTCGTGTTAGTAGTAGACGGTAAGTTGGTTTCATTGCGTTGTTCAACTTCGATGGTTTACTTTTGCATGGACTTTCCGGGATTGAAACCGAGATTGCTTACCACCTGGAATCTAAAATCTTGTTTCGTCTTTTTTACATACTTTAGGGAGATTATTTAGTGGATTTCTATCCGAGTCCGTTCTTTAGCCTCTGTCGTTTAATAGATATCGACGAGTGTGCGCAGAACATCAACACGTGCCAGTCCACCCAGCGCTGTGAGAATACCATCGGCTCCTTCCGGTGTGGGCGTCTGATTGGCTGTGGTACGGGGTACACCTTGGACTCGGACACGCAGCGTTGTGTTGGTACGTATCCGATAGAGAGAAGTTAAAGTGCTATTTAGATTGGAGTAATACTGTTTGGAGACTTGCTGTTGATAGTCTGACACCTATAAAATGATTTTTTTTAACTGAATGTGTAAATTCACAAAGTACATGGTCTAAAGTTGTTGATCACTGACGGACTTTTGGTAAGGTGGATCTATTTTTATATTAGCCAGATGTTATAGCAACACCATACGGATCCAAACTACACTCTCGGTGCCTGCCCGTTGATATTTTCTAATGAACGGACAGCCAAACCGTTTTGGACATTGATTTTTTTGTTTTGATTATTTTCTATTGCAACAAAAGGTTTTGTTGTATTTCTATTTCAATGTGTTCTTATTAAAGTTTTTATGAACATTTCAACGATTCGACACAGCTTATTGCTTGTATATATCATATAACAATAGAGATCTAAATAGATTATAGACAACCATATAGAACCAAAGACAACCATATAGAACCAAAGACAACCATACACAAACCATAGACAACCATATAGAACCAAAGACAACCATACACAAACCATAGACAAACATATAGAACCAAAGACAACCATACACAAACCATAGACAATCATACAAAAACCATGGACAACCATATAAAACCAAAGACAACCATACAAAAACCATAGACAACCATATAGAACCATAGACAACCATACACAAACCATAGACAATCATACAAAAACCATAGACAACCATACAAAAATCATAGACAACCATATAGAACCATAGACAACCATATAGAACCAAGACAACCATACAAAAATCATAGACAACCATATAGAACCATAGACAACCATATAGAACCAAAGACAACCATACACAAACCATAGACAACCATATAGAACCAAAGACAACCATACACAAACCATAGACAACCATATAGAACCAAAGACAACCATACACAAACCATAGACAACCATATAGAACCAAAGACAACCATACACAAACCATAGACAAACATATAGAACCAAAGACAACCATACACAAACCATAGACAATCATACAAAAACCATGGACAACCATATAAAACCAAAGACAACCATACAAAAACCATAGACAACCATATAGAACTATAGACAACCATACACAAACCATAGACAATCATACAAAAACCATAGACAACCATACAAAAATCATAGACAACCATACAAAAAACATAGACAAACATATAGAACCATAGACAACCATATAGAACCATAGACAACCATATATAACCAAAGACAACCATATAAAACCATAGACAACCATACAAAAACCATAGACAACCATATAGAACCAAAGACAACCATACAAAAACCATAGACAACCATATAGAACCAAAGACAACCATACACAAACCATAGACAAACATATAGAACCATAGACAACCATACAAAAACCATAGACAACCATATAGAACCAAAGACAACCATACAAAACCATAGACAACCATACAAAAATCATTAACAACCATACAAAAATCATAGACAAACATATAGAACCATAGACAACCATACAAAAACCATAGACAACCATACAAAAACCATAAACAAACATATAGAACCATAGACAACCATACAAAAACCATAGACAATCATACAAAAACCATAGACAACCATACAAAAACCATAGACAACCATACAAAAACCATAGACAACCATACAAAAACCATAGACAACCATACAAAAACCAGACAACCATATAGAACCAAAGACAACCATACAAAAACCATAGACAACCATACAAAAACCATAGATAACCATACAAAAACCATAGACAACCATATAGAACCATATAAATCCAAATAGACTATAGATTTATGTTTAATTTTGTTTAACGTCCTATTTACAACTAAGGTTATTTAATGACGTGCCTCCCATGTGTGTAGTATATGCGTGCTTACGTGTGTGTATGCAGGAGACAGGTTATGTTGGTGTGCTTGCCTCCTTGTGATAGCGCGGATCTGATGCCGACTTTATAGTGCTATCTCACTGAAATACCACGTCGAAGGCACCCAACACAGCATTCCGCCCGGTCACATTATACTGACAACGGGTACACCAGTTGTTGCTATTGGGGTAATGCTGAACGTAAAGCAGAGAATAACAACTACCTTTTTTGGGACTTTGGTATGTCCCGGCCTTTGGACAGAACCCGATGCCTTTCTCACCTGGGCGAACGCTCAATATTCAAGTCAAAAGTGAGGTGTTGCCAAGCAAGGTGCTAGGAAATAAAAGGTACATTGTAGTTAGAAGTAGAAAAAAAAAGATAAAGATCCTAAATATTGCTATGGACGCAGCAGATTTATTTTGGTCGCTTTTGTGTCCCTAAATAGGGGACACTACAAAAATCCCTAATTCTGCTGGGGGTTTCCGCATTAGTCGCCTCCTATGATACATGCAGTGGGTAACAGCAGGTGTATTCTTTTCCTGATCCCCCACCTTCAGGGGTGAAACAGACTTTAGACAACCATATAGAGCCACAGAGAATCGAAAATAGACCAGGTGTTTTTTTTTATATTATAATCATTATCTACTCCAAGATCGGGATGAATGCCTCCTAAAAATCCACAACTGTGGCTCCGGATACAACTGTGTCAACATCCAGGGGTCCTTCCGGTGTGTGCCGACGCAGTGTCAGTTTGGTTACCGCTTTTCTTCCGCTTCTGGTAGATGTGAGCCTATCAACTGTCAACGTGGACTGGAGCCAAACAGGCGAGGAGCCTGCGTAGGTGAGGTCACGACCCCGCATTGTTTACTGAATCCGGGTCATCCTTTATCAGAAATAAGCTATTCTATTTTCGTCTGTCTTAAACTAAAACAAACATACCCACACAAACTTTAAATGCCGTACATAATTACTTTTAAATTTCATATTATGATTGTAAATTATGCTCTTTTTTTTTACTGCAGACGTAACAACTTGTGTCCGGTTTCGGAATTAATAGAATTGTTTTATGTTCTGCACAACAAAAGCTACAAATGAACGCAAACAATCCAAACAAATACCATAAAAGTATTTAGGTTATTGAATTTTTTGGCCAATTTAAAATTCATTGTAAAGGTGGAGGATACACATATACCATTCTCTCTCAGATATAAATGAGTGTGAGCGGGCCAACACGTGTCGACGGACGGAGACCTGTAAAAACACATACGGATCGTATCGCTGTAGGAGCATGTTAGACTGCCAACCTGGGCACGAGGTGGACCCTAACACTCAGGTCTGTGTCGGTATGTACAATGGTATTCATCCAGAATGTATGGTATCCGAACTTAGGTCTGGATACTAAATCCAGTTATGTATTTAACTTGCCACTTTTAAGGACACTGCGAAAAGTAGTCAGGTGTGTCATTAATATTGTCGCAAGCATGTATACTTAACATTATTTAAACATTAAACAGCATTCTGTTCCGTGTTATAGGACCATAACACGGAACAGAATACTGTTTTATTCTTATATTTACATTTATTAATTTCTTCAATTTTCATTCTTAAGTTCACAACGCACTTTTAGATTCGAATTTCGCGGTGTTTGTTCAAGAGGTAGAACAGCCCATGGAATTGCTCACGGAATGTTGTCTCGTGACTTTCCCCGTCAAAATATAGCTCGTGGAAATAAATACAAAAATATCGATACAATTTCCATAACTTAATCAATCAATATATCTAATTCTCATTTTTTAATAGTCTTACATAAAACAGCGAATATTATTGAATCAAAGTGGTTTTTTGCTTATTTCCTTGCTAATGCGGAGGGGAATAGAGATCCGGTAGTTAGTCGGACCCGTGGAGATATCACTACGCCTGTGTTATGGTCTATATATAGTGACAATGCCGAGCAAATGTAAATAGATACCTATAACAAACGGATTTGGTTAGCCCCCATAGATTTGTTTTAAACATTTTATATTGTATTCTAAGAATACAGATTGATAGCTTTGTTTCCATTGACCAATTGACATTATTTTCATTAGACATTGATGAGTGCGGCCGAAACTTACATGACTGTCGACAAAACCAGAGGTGTATCAACCGTCCCGGAAGTTACATCTGCGACTGCCCGAAAGGCTATAGAGTTGGCCAGGAAGGGAACTGTGAAGGTAGGCTGAAGAACCCATCCTGTAACGTTGTGTTGGTAGCAATGTGTCGAAATGTTCAGTAACGGATCATTCAGTTATGAATTAAAATATAACGTTGGAATCATTCGGAATTCCTTTTAAATTTGTATGGACATTTATAATTGTTTCTTTTCAATTGACCTATATATTTTGATTGTCAAATATCACTTGACTTCAAATCTAAATACGTAGTTTACTGAAACAGTCGTATTATCTAGAAGCGTTTATCTGTTTGGCCCATTATTGTGTCCGTTATTTTTTGTATGTTTTTTTGCTGTTTTAGACATTAACGAGTGTGTGGATAGCTTCGTGTGTCCGTTCGATTCCGTGTGCGAGAACAGCCCCGGTAGCTATAGGTGTAGCTGTAACGAGGGTCTCAGGTCCGAGGGCAGACGCTGTGTCGGTAAGTGAAGGGATGGCGCTCAGGTCCGGGGGCAGCCCTGGTAGTTAAAGGTGTAGCTGTAACGAGGGTCTCGGGTCAGAGGGCAGACGCTGTATCGGTAAGTGAAGGGGTGGCGCTCAGGTCCGAGGGCAGACGCTGTGTCGTTAAGTGAAGGGGTGGCGCTCAGGTCCGGGGGCAGCCCTGGTAGTTAAAGGTGTAGCTGTAACGAGGGTCTCATGTCAGAGGGCAGACGCTGTGTGGGTACATGTAAGTCAGCGCTAAGGTCCTACGACAGACGCTGTGGGGGTAAGTGAGATGGGCAACGCTCAGGTCTGAAGTTAGTGGAAGTCGAGTCCGAGGACAGACTCTTGTTGGAAAGTGTACTTTTTCTCCAGCAGTTATCGATGTATCAAATTATAAAGTAATTTATCTTGATTTGTAAGTATTATAGGTAATTATCCTGATATTTAAGAGTTATGTAATATCAAGATTTGTAAGGGTTATACTTACTTATACTTATTTTAAAGTGTAATAAGTAATTACCACAATTTTTAAGTATTATAAGTAATATACACATGCAACACATTTAGCTCATTTTATTCAGAACATTGTAGGTAAAATACTTTTCTTTATTTAGATTAAAATGTTTGGTGATATTTTGTCTTTAGTAACTTCATAATGCATTATTGTTTCTCTGCCCTTGTTGCACGTGTTAGTGTTGTGTATCTATGGCGGAGGAACAGTCCAGGTATATTGTTCCAACATCCTCGATACTCCAGTGTTAGGTAACCCCGGAACAGTCGAGGTATATTGTTCCAACTTCCTCGATACACCAGTGTTAGCGTAATCCCTGGAGTATGGAGGATGATTGTTCAAAGCATTGAATATGTAATCACTATCATCGGTAGTTTAATTGCTGTTTAAAATGCAATTATAAGCTATACATATCCCTAAAAACGACAACACGTCTACCTTTAGACATCAACGAATGTGAAGATGCTAATACCTGTCAGTACCGCTGCCTGAACGTCTACGGGTCATTCCATTGTCAATGCAGAAATGGATATCAACTGGGGGCCGACAAACGTAGCTGTGAAGGTACGCCTCTTATGTTAATACAATAGCAAAATTGAAGACACGAAGATTCAAACGTAGCTGGCGGATTGGTATCAGGTAAAAAAAACAACCTGACCAATCCGCTAGGCTTATACCTGTCCTTTGAAGATTACAAAGGAGAAACACTCAACTTCAAAGCTTGTCAATTTTTACCGTTACGTGAACGCGAGATTCTTTAGATGTACATCGAAGGATCGAACTAGTCTTCTTGCCTCACCAACAAGGTGGCGCACACCGAGCCTTCAATTTTCTATGACATAGTCCAGGGATGTAGAAAGCGAAACTGAGCGTAACTCCTGGATATCGTGAATGGTACAACCGGTTCAACCGTTTGGATCGGGATAACCGAGTGCAGCGTTACAGAATAATATCTTGGTAACATTGGATTTTTTTTTTCATTTTTTCACATTAGACATCGACGAGTGTACTCAGTTCGGGGGTCGTCACCGTCTGTGTGGAGGAAACTGTGTGAATACACCAGGGTCGTACCAGTGTGAGTGTCCGGAGGGCTGGACATCGTACGGCAGGGGTCAATCTTGTAGAGGTAAGTGTACGTCATTGTTCTTCAAGGACAGTGGGGCATAGTACGCTAGCGACGCAACGCTGCAATTTGTCAGTAATATAATTAAAGAGTATGCGTTTGCTCTCGAATTAAGAAAGTGGGAAGGTTACCGTTGGGTACCTCCAAATTATACGCTACGTTTAAATGTAGGCTCTGACTGTTATACCAAGTCTCTGACAACTTCTGGTCATCTGATGTAAGAGCCTGACCATGGAAAACCGCAGCAAATCAGCAGAATGATGGACTCCTCTAAAATGGGTCGTGCTCTTTGAATGCCTTCGTTTATATGGATGCTACTCGTGAGGGCTGCCGTAACATGCGTTTTCCTAATTGCCTGAAACGCATGCGGTTTCATGCACGGTGCCCCATATCTGAATGAAATATTGCTTAGAAACGAAACCATAATTGTCACAGAAACCTTGTCTATTCCAGAACAGACTGAGTTTTTAAACACCGTTGAGGATACATTCTGCAGCTATACTTTGAGTGATAGTCGGCTATGTATCGAAATTGAATAACTATCGCACACAGTAGGGTATGGTGGTATCTGTAATATGTGGAGAAAATCATTAATTTAATCCTGGCACCTATAACATGTTACTGCAACTCTCGAGTAATACGCGCAGTAGAAGTAAAAAGTACAACAGACATGTATGTAATAGGTGTTTCAAAGCCTTCAACTGTACTAGAGAAGACTATATTATCATGCTCGAAACGTTGGAGACTCTTTCTGATAAATACATAACCGATTGCGTAGATTTTGATGCTCACATGGCCAACAACTTTGGAACAAAGAACCGGGAAACTGAAAATAACAAAGTTGGTATACCACAATCTTTTATGCAGCAAAGGCAGGTCTGTTCTATCAATACCACGATCTGGTCCTTTGCCCCAAGCTATACCACAAACATGGAAAGCTTAGGACTCTAATAATTGACCATAAATACCATATATACTATCCGCTAGTAACAAGATTGATATTGTGAATACAAGCGGAGTAATAGATGAATGTGTTGTAAACAAGCCTAATCATCTGACAATCAGTGTTACACTCACTATTCCCCACCAGAGAATATGTTCTGTCCCTCGTCGGTCTGACTCTTTTGCTTTGAATTGGAAAAGGGTTACGCAAGCCTTCCTCAACGCCTTCAGGTCGTTTAAACGGCTTTCCTGACAGTGCCGACATGGACGTGCTTCTAAACAGCTTTTGTGCCCTTATAGACAGAGCAGCTAACCAATTCTCACCGCACAAAACATGCAAGCCTTTCATGAAGCCATATTGAATATATAGAAATGTTAAGTCTGCTCACAAAGCTATGCAGGAAAAGCGTTCTATATGAAACGTAGAGGGGAGACCACGTGGTACTTATATATCATATGTCAAGTATAAGATGTAATTCTCCCACGGAACTCAAAAATGTATGCCGGGATGATGTTAAGTGACAATTTGAGAATTGACATTGCAATGGGTGAAACCATTCAGAAAAAAAGAAGAAGAAATTAAATAGCTTTATTTCAATCGAAGTCAACCTGAGCCTCACAGCCAGTGTTTCTATCTGGAATAATGTAGTTCTACCTTCTTTATTATTTGCTTGTAAGCTTTGGAGTAGTTTTGCTAAATCAGCCTTGGACTATACGGAGATATTCCAATACAAAGCAGCATGGCAATGCAAGGTTTCGATACACGGTCTCCGAAAGTGGTAACACGTTCATCCTTAGGTCTATGTGAGATCAGAGGATATATTCAAAACACAAAACTACTGCTATAGAATAAGGTAATTAATGGACAGGACACTTTCCTGTGGAAGAATTATTTGAAGTTCTGTTCACGGCAAACAGCAACGGCAAGTCATTAGGTTTTCTTCCGGATGATACACAATAGTTCTTAAGAACCTACAGCGCGGAGGACGAAATCACAAATAAAATTTCACGGAAAAACGTTGTGAATAAGGTCATACAAATACATGAAAAGCAACAATGGAGGGAAGCTCTGTTAGAAAAAATACTTTCAAAAGTCCAGCGTTAAAGAAACGTTGGAAGAAACGTTGGAACACTCTGAACTGCTGTATATATCATTTGTGTCAGAACCTCTTGCGGTCGTCTGAAAATTATGTGGTAAAACTGTTATTGATATTGTCGTGCACTTGATTGCGGAGTGACATAACTGGAGACTGCTCTTACTATTTTAAATGTTATATCAAATTCTCAGTAATGAGTTACAATGAACAGTCGGAAATAAATCTTGGTAAAAGGTCTAGCAATATTAGCTTATCACATTATTTAGTGGACATAAATGATGAAGTCTATCGCAAAATAGGTCCCGAAAATGTACTCAGTATTGCATAAACTTACAAAGAACTTCTGAACAAAAAGAGACTCATGGAAAATGTTATAAAGAAGTCATATCATTAATGTAATTGTATCAAATGNATTTGCATTTTTTTTTTTTTTTTTTTTTAAATTTGTTTTCTTATGTTTTCTCTCTGTTATTTAAATAAAACAAAATAGTTGAAATGAAAACAGAATAAAACTGATTCCAAAATAAGTACTGTTAATTTATTGGCTAGAAACTACCTTCTAAATGTTGTCTATTTCTTTAGACATAGATGAGTGCCAACGGCCGGGGATATGTGGACGAGACAACATGTGCTTTAACACCAAGGGTAGCTATAAGTGTCCCCACGTGGTATGTCCCTCGGGCTTCGTCAAGACCATGCTGGGACCCCGCCGTAACAGGTACGTTGTAACAGCTTGTTATTTACAGTACCTTCCAAAAGTCCCATTGTTTCTTGTACCTCTTAAAGTAGATTGATTGTGATCTTTATATTCATATGATCATTTTCTGATAGGTAGTTATTTCTCTTTTACGTAGACAGCTCCTATTTTAGGACTTTTCCCAAAATGGTCGGACTATACTTCGTGTATATGATTTCTACGGAATACTGTCCTATACAGCACCACCCACTGGCTGCCTATATTAATCCATTTGTTCTCTGACGTCATTTCGCACTCTAGAAATCCCCGACTACTCAATAAACTACCGTAGACTTGCTCAAGTTCATGCCAAATACTTGGTATAGCTGAATTTTCATTGACTATTAACACTGCACATTTTCTTACTCAAATTCGCATCTGTGCTCTAACGAAATTTTCGGAATCATTTATTAATTGTTAGAAGTAAAAGACCATGATCAAACCCAAACCAGTCCTAACGTTGAAAGCCCGTCAAACAGTTATCAACAATTTCTAGTATTATTTGTTTTTGTTAATATTATGTAAATGCTTATATTTCTATTCCTAGTTTCAAGTATATTTGATTAAAGTGTTAAAGTCATGACTACGTACTGTACACGTAAAATAAACTAGCAAAGGTAGATCCCCTTTTCTACAATAAACTAGTACAGGTAGGCACATACGAGTATATGTTTATTTCAGGCGTCCACACAAAAGCATGCCTGTTAAATGTTCACATATACTGCAATGTTATATTTTAATTATGAGGCATACGTTTGTAGAATGGTTGTAGAGCTTAGCATTAACCGCATCTATGGGCATGCTTTCATAGTGAATAAGAATTTTAATCCTAAAACTATATTTGTGTACTGTACTGTACAAGGGGAAGACTCTCGCGTGTGCAGCCTGAGCTTATTGATGCTGCTCAAAGCGCAATAACAATAATGAACATAATGTGTTCCTTCGGGCTCACTTCTGGCTTTCCTTGACGTTCCATAAAGAACAGACATTTTTATTTCAGTGTGAGATGTAAGCGTGTAGAATTCAAGACATGTGACCAAAATGATGAAGAATGTTTGAATACGCCTTTGTCTCTATCTTACAACTTCCTGTCCTTCCCGGCCAATGTGAAGGTCCCGGCAGACTTATTCGCCATGTCTGGTCCCCAGTCAGTGGACAAGAGCTTCACCTGGGAGCTCGAGGTGGTCGACGTTCGACCACTAAGGGCTGGTATCAATCCGGTCAATCGTGGATACTTTGCGCTCACGGAAAACAATAACGAGGCCGTAGTGACCTTGTCGTATGGTGTACAAGGTCCTCAGGACATCCAGCTTGAGCTGACAATGAACATGAGGGATCGAAGAACTAACGTTTCCCTTGGCAACGCCATATCGAAGATATACCTGTACATTACAGAGAAAGGCATGATGAGGGGAAAGTAAAAGCGGACATATGTGTTAGTGTTTTATCAGGCTATTACACGTTGGGCCGTGACATTTGTATATAATTCAATCTTAATCGCTAACATGTGCTTGTCAGGGGATTTGAATTTGCAAATCGATCAAGTAAAACAATTTTACTTGATAGCTGTAATCTTACATATATATCTCAAAGTTCCCGCGAATATTATTGTGTGTCAGCATTACTCGCGCTTACCCTGATACGCAAAATCATGAAAAGTACGTGCATTTATAGATGAATGTCACTAAGCGCTGGCAAAGGAACTATACTTTTAGGAAAAAAAGCTTTATCCCAAAGGGCATGATAGTAAAATTACACACGAGGTTTGTATTCTTGAATCATAGTGTGGCGATCCCAAACTTTCATTTAAAATTTCGTTTATACATTTCAGTTTCATATTTATCTCATTATTGAACTAGTGTTTTCATGGAATCCTTTGTCTTTGTCTGTTATGAATATTCAAGTGATATAACCTCTTCACTTGGCTTGAACGAGGCTGACTGAATTATTGAGGTCACTCCTGTATCCACACAATGAAATAGCATGGCCATTGAAGGGTATCAAAACACAGTGAGGTCGACTTCTACAGCCTTTTATCCTTATGTCAACAAATAAGAATATTTTACCAAAAAAAAAGCAGAAACTGTATTAACGGAATATTGCATTTCATGCCTTCACTTAAACGGCCGGTGGTGATTTGAAAATTGTAATTTACTCAGCTAAGCGTACAGACTGGTAGTTTTTAAAAGGAAGAAGATTTGGGTTTTCAACCTTGGTAGTACAAAAATGTATTCGAAAAGTGGAAATATATTAGTGGGCAATGCTTCTGAAAAGCAAACAAAAAATCATTCTATTCCACTGAGTTCTGATATGTAGGTTTTCGCAGTTTTGATATAATTCTTTTAATTTTAATTTTTATCTATTGATTAGTTTAAATCATGGATTGTTTTTGAAAACTTGTGCATGTGATTTGTTTTCAAACGACATATTCACAAGGATTTAAACTGAAGAACATGTCGAAGACGCTTTACGTTCATTATTTGAAATATTGTAAATGTAAATATTACCGAATATTTTAACTAGGGATTGAGTTAGTATTCACGAGAATGTACCACTGTAGTATGACAGTGTCAGTAACTATTGCACAAATTGTTAATACAGTGTTCCACTTGTACAGCTGTTGTGCTATATTATTTATACGACTGAATATCATGTACATGGATTCTGTGTTAAACCTTAAATATATCGTTTTTAGCTCGAAGGGAAAGTGAGCTTATGTCATGGCGCAGCTTCCGTCGTCCGTCCTTCAACTTTTCCTTTAAAACGCTAATAGTCCTGAACGGCTTAGTAGATTTTAACAAATTTTGGTCTGAAGCATCCTTGGGCCAAGGACACTCAATTTGGTATAAACAGTGGGTGTGGCCCCTAGGTAGAGGAACGGGGCCCAAAAGGAGGGAGGTAACAACTTTGAAATCCTTCTTCTACCATAGAGATTACGGGATTTTATCCCTTTTTTGTCTCCATCAAATTGTCTAGTAGTGCCACCAGGACGCAATTTTAGATTTTGACATTCAAAGTTTGTTTTCTCTTTATCTCCAGAAATACTGGATGGATCTTTCTGAAATTTCATACATTTGTTAGTACATATAGTACCTACTATGGAGTGCATTATCTTTATCTCATATCAAGTACTTAAAACATATCCAGGTAAGCGAAGCATACCCTCTGAGCCTCTTGTTTTAATAGTTGAATGTCGTTTGTTAGGTATTACATATATATATATAATCTTTTACTGCAGAAATACGTTGTATATTTGACTTTTGATTGGCTAGAAAACTGTATCAATCATCGCCCAACTAGAGATCATCTTTGTTGCTCGTTTTGTTTTAAATACTAATGTTGATATCCCATGAATATTTTTATTAAAAACAATAATTTAACAAATTCTAAGAGAGTGTTGTGTCTGTGTTGTGTAAATGCTATGATTTGTGATTATGGCTTAACCAAAGAATATTGTATAAACTTTGTTATCCTCAATAAATGGATGAACTAATACTATAGACATTACCATTTACTGCATCATTGTCTGTATGCTATTCATTACAACGTTGAATAAGTATCTGTGTTGCATCCCCTCTATACAAAATACTCAATAAATATTAATAGCACTATGACTACGAAATAAATGTATGTCAATGTGACGATTGTTTCAAGCTCTAAAGTGACAACGATGATGGAGTTTCCCGCCAATATCGTTAATTCATTGGCGTGCAAACAGAGACATTAAACATATTTAAAATGACTCAATTAAACAAAAAAAAAATTGGACGAAACAGTATTTCTTTGTCGTGCTGGTATGATATACAATAGCTCACAGACATATTTATAATGTACCATAACATACTGCGGTACATATCTAGACAACACAAATGTCAGTTATATCGAAAATAAACACGAACAGGCTTATTTTACAGAAAACCCGGCGAAGTCATTGACACAGAAGGTATCATCACCGAAAGGTAGGGACGGGTATGTGTTCAGCAGAAACTGATCACTTTTGCATACGTCACACGCAGCTCTGCATAATCCGATGATGTCACAAACGTGTTTTTATGTGCATTCACACGAATAAGTTGGCTTCGCTAAGGCATTGTTCACACGTGATGATAACCACGGTTTATTATACCTCACCTTTATAACAGCATGTCTGATTGAATGATATTGATCCCATGACGGGGCAATGACATGTCATGTCCTCCTCACGCGCTTGAGTCTCCCCGGTGATACATTATTGTATTCCCCCTTTTCGGAACCACTCTAGAAAAAAATGACAATGGCTTCCACTAATGAGTTCCGAGTGACTGAAGCAGACGACAACAATGACGCGCCAATCTAATCATTTGTACTGTTCTACTATTGTTTTATTTCGGCATAAGAAAATATTTATTAATCCTTGCCTTGTGGTAGGGAAACACAATTCTTTGTTTCTCCTCTATTAATCGTGTCTTACTCGGGCTTCGTTCTCGTGAAATATGTTTGAAATGGGAGAAACAAAATATCGTGTTTCCCTACCACAAGGGAAATACATGTATACTATTCGTAGTATGGTGTCACTTTGTTTACATTCGTTAGCTATGTAGTTATAATTCCACAGAATGCCTCATATTTCGTAGCCACTTGGCCTACTACAAACAAATTTAACATCCCCTTCATCTGTTCTCGTAACCATTTATGAATGTTTCAAAGTACTAACGATATCGGTAAACCTACCAAGCTGTGTTACGTTTGAATTAACGTTCAAGTCTCGTTTTGATCTGGTGTAATAAAGTAATAAAGCTCGAACAATTAAATACAATATTGAGTGCTGATTAATTAATAAGAACGTTGTCATTATTTAACTTTATACCACTACATGTATAATAAAATCCCTTCTGGTCCATACTTTTATTTAAAACATCTCAGCATAAATGTGGGGTCAATATGCGGCCCTTGTATCAATTCGTATATTTTCTTTGCCCATAAAATTTATCAGTCTATGAACAAATACTGCAATTGTATTTAGTCTGCTCTATCTAAGGGTAATGCTATTCTAGAAAAACCTGAAAGTACTTGTCATGTAAACTGTTAAAACGCTGTCTTAAACGCTATTGTCATCGAAATGAAACTGTCAGTGCTTGCTTAACAATTCCGGATAACACGGAAGTGGAAAACGGTAACAATCTTTACTCTTACTTCCTGTTAACCAAACATTGCCATTGATTTCTCTGAGAGTCTATAATATGATAGTTATTCCCACAAAGGGTGTGTTTCCTGTTTGAAAGAAGGTTAATGGCTGTGCTTCATACATACCATAGAGTGCTAGAATGGATCCTGTGTTTTTCCGTTGTCTGTGGTGATCAACTGATGTACGTGCGGGTGTAGAACACGTTTGTAATATACTTTGTATTGGGAGGCTAACTACTAAACATTTAAAAATAAGAAAGGGACAGAATCGGATAGAAAAAAAAGATATAAATAAAATTGTTTTAACTTCATTCATATGATAATGTGTTTTAAAAATATTTTAGGAACTGACAAACTGTTAAGGAAGTATAAAACCTCATTTCCGATTATAAATATGCAAGTTCGAAGTGCTATATTTATGGACGGACATTCCACACTTTTCCCATTAAAATGTTAACAAGAAATATCTTATGAACCAAACATTAACATATTAACATATCGCATAAAAACAATAGATGGAGTTCACTGCGCATGACAGGTAGAACATTATCTGTTACTTCTTAAAACTTGTACAAATGAGACGGTTTCTTGAACAGAACCTTTAAAATTACCGTGCCGCAATCTGTCGGAAAAAACTGTGGTTAAAATTGCAGTCATGAAATTCCATAAACACTAAGTAAAGCTCGCAAAATAAGTTTTCCATTCCTGTTAGTGTTCAAAACAAACTAAGCTTATATAAGTAAATTGGCTGTACACACAAAAACAACACGTAAGAGACAAATGCCATTTTCTCATAGGAATTGGTACAACTTTTGATAAAGTAAAGGAATGTATTTTTCCATTTACACGATGAATGAAATACAAGGGCTAAATGATCGAATTCATGGGGTGATATATTGAGTTGGTCTTGAGACACACTGCTTTTTTTCTTAAGACAAATTTGATTCATCATCACCTGAATTTGATCGAAGCAAGGTTCATTACAGAAAAGTACACAGTTACACAAAACTGGCTGGGAAGGCAACATGAAGCGACAGTTTAAGAATCCTGACGGCTACACGTGAGCGCCATCGTTATCAGCTTTACAATTTGCTAGATAGATATTTAGCATGGTTGATAACAGCTGGACGGCATGGTGTAGATTAGTATCACAATTTGTGTTGTAAAAAGTGGTTATTGTTGAATATTCACATTTTAACGATGAAATATAGTTATATATTGACATTATATCTTCCAAAAACTGGCCTTCAGTATTACAATATAACATTTGTGTTCGGTGTAAATTCTATTCGTCGATACACAATGAAAGTAGTTCAAATGCATTGTACAGTACATATGTACATAATAGCGTGTGAGTGTAAGGAAAATTCCATTCCGCGTATTTGTATTTTCTGGATATATATTATATATATATATATACATTTTTTATAACATCCAAAGTATTTTTTGAAGAAAACAATAGTTATGGATTAACAAATCAAAGAGTTAGGGATTCCTTTATCATTTTTGGCGTCAATACAATAGACTGGAACGAATGAAGAACAGTAATATATAATGCATGTTTCAAGTCGTAAATATTATATATAGATTGTTTAGGACCTATATTTTAACCCATGGTTTTAATTTGGACACATCAATCTTAAAAGTAACATTTGATAAGTGAAATATATTTCATCCCTGGTTTTAAGTAGAGCAGGACGGTTGAAAGCCGAGGAGGGCGTCATGTGTAACAGGAGGACCTGTAACGTCACAGACGTGGAGTGTCGTACAAGTAAAGTGCGCAGTATCACGTGGCAGTTCGTGGCGCTACCTACCGTTCGATCCCTCACACAGCCTGTCGAACTACTCAATGTCCAAACCGTCAGCTACCTACTCATTCCAAATCTCAAATTCATGATCATACGTGGAAATGAGGACGGACTATTTGAGGCTGTGACCACAGGGAATGCAGGTATGTAACCTAGTTTGTTATGACTTTGGTATGATTTAGTGTACACCATCATGGCATCAATTCATGGGTATCTATGAGTTGACCACGTGTATTCAATGTGAAAGGTGGCAGCGCTTTTCTACCTTATTTCCCTACATATATCATCCTCGACATTCCAGTGGCTAGACTCGCTTTCGCTCTCTGCACCTCTGGAACATATCATGACAAAATCGAAGGCTCTGTACACTCTTGTGACAAAAGGAGACAAGTTTGATCTTTGGTGTACAACAAATTAAAAGAGGATTCGAAGTCGGGGTGTCGCTCCTCTGTAATCTTCAAAGGACAGGCATCTGCCTAGCGATTGGTCAGTTTCTTTCACCTGAAACCAATCAAATCCGTGTGTCTTTAATTTTGCCATGCCATATTCCAGTGTTGCTCCAGTCCATATGACTTAAAGAAACGTACTGAAACTCTTCGTTAACTTAACATATACTACGTACTTTTTTGAGAGCTCCCATTACCACGCCACTCAAATGAAGACTGTTCCAAACATTTACCTTTTTATAGACAAAATCATTATGTTATCTGTGTAAGACGTTTTAAAATGGTCAATGTACATACTGTACTTTCAAAGCGACATATCGCCATAACAAAGAGTTCAAGGAATACATTTTTTTTAACTGTTAATTTTTCTATGATATCCACATATATACATTCTATTCCTATGTCTAGTTTAACTACTCTGAATGTTTTAGAACTCTCTGTCAAATGCAGATATTAAAACCGAAAGGTTGATTTTGTAAATAAGAACCTAGAGAATATATGAAAAGCGGAAAGCGGGGACAATAATATGTACTTCGGTAAACAAATTGTATACAAAACATTAATTTCAAAACATACAGTACCAATTTTTTCAGAATTGTAAAAGACATTTCATCAAATATCATTTCATTCAAAATTTTAAAAAGAACACCCACATCATCGCGAGGGTACAACAGACACGACCTTTATCCTGATCCAGTTTACAGCATCGATGTCAGGTTGTTTAAAAAATATTTTGGGAATGCTCTCTAGAAGTGAAGTTACGCACGGTTAAGCTCAGCCAACGTCAGAGGCTGATTAGGCAGTTTGCGTAGCAAACGTTGTATCGCGTCACATACTCGGTCGATGGGCGAAAGGTCTGCTGATACTTATATATTTTGACTTTGTAGATTTTATCAATATGTTTGCAGAGTTTCTGTTTTACGTTAGCATATACATATGTATGATGAGAGTGACGGGAGTAACATAGTACGTGAACTTTGTTTTGCATTATATTCTGGTATGAGTACGCTAACAGCTTTTTGATTGCTCGAAACCTTCGTATTGGATGGCAACAATGATATAAATAAAAGATTTTTGATGGCGAGTGAGCGATGATAATTTCTTCTTTTATGAGCTTCGGTTTTTGTCATGTTTTCTTGACACGAATCAAATTGAGTAAGCTGTAATACTGTACCTTTATGACCTATAGGCACATCGGCAATGGTTTCCGAGGCTAACTATACAGTGTTTAGTTTCAGTTTTCATGAAAGACGTCGCCAAACTTGTATATACATCATTGGAAAGTATACAATTCGGAGATGTACATGATTTTGTTTAGGGTCTAGAAATTGTTGGACACGCGTGATCAGAAGATACAAGTGTTAGAAGAACATTTGACAAATTACCAGTAAGAATTACGTCTATAGTTAGTAGGGTCCTAACAACATTATAAAGCGAATCCTAATTTTCTAGATTTCTATATTCAGTATATTTGTGAGATTTTATCTTCAATATTCAGGGTTGTCATAAACAGATATTTTTTATATGAAACGGTTAACAAATCTAATAAATACATATATGTGTCACCAATACGCCTACAATTTCCACTTGGTTACATCCTCATAATTCCAATTTTACAAACCTTTTCTAATACGATTCCTGGAATATGTCTAGAAGCTCAATGTTATTATGACATCGTAGATGTTAAAAAATGATTTCAATTCGTTATATATGTTATCAGAGCAATAACGGTGCAAATGTGAAAGGCATTACAAAATATACTACCAAATTGCGAAATTTAACAAATATTAGAACTAGAAAATATCTGTTAGACATAAATGCCCCCCCCCCCCCCTCCCGCATATGGATGGGACGGGACGCGACGCGACGGACATGGGCAACAATATATGCCCCCCCCCCATTTTATGGCGGGGGCATAGCAATTAATAGTAGTTGGAATGAGATATAATTTAGCTGACAGTGATGCAAAAATGTCTATCTACACACTTTTAGCTTTTCAGCTATGAAGGATTATTTGAATATCAAGATCGTTTTTTTATACACAAGTCTGTTAAGAAATAACGACAGCATGATCCAATATGGTTCCGAACAAACATACGTTCGCTGGATGTGTATTACTTAAATATATATATATAAAGTATTAGCAAAAAGGTTATAACAGTACTAGTACAGACAAAGGAATTGGTCAAGTTTTCAGGGCAATCCGTCCTTTTTTTTAAAACAGAGACCTGACCACATACATATCACAACATATAACGAAGTGATATAAACAGTCACTATGAAACAATTCTGTAGCATAAAAGACATAAAAAAGAACAAAAGTTATCACATATGAAATATGCTTATGCTATCGCATATTCCCTCGGTTAGCTTGTAATCGAACGCTAATTATAGTAAATAATTCATCTTGAAAACATAAGTTCAAGTGAATAAATAGAAAAAAATGTGAATATAGGTAGCGAGAAAATCTATAGCCGTAGTTAATTTAGTTTAAACAATATTTTATGCATGTCAATAGACATGTACAATTACATAGACATTTCATTCTGATGATTGGCAAACATGTACTATTGTACGTATACATAGTCCTTTATAACAAGCTTAGGGGGATAAAGAAGATTCTGCCAATTATAGACCTATTTCATTACTTAGTACTGTTGGGAAAGTTTTTGAACGACTAGTTGTAAAATATATAAATAATTATTTATTAGAAAACTCATTGATATATAAATACCAATCGGGTTTCCAGCCTGGCCTTTCTACAGTGCATCAATTAATTGAAATTTATCATACTTTATGTGAAAATATAGAAAAAAAACATCCTACATGTCTAGTTTTTTGTGATATATACCGAAGGCGTTCGATCGTGTGTGGCACAAGGGACTGAAAGTAAAACTAGAAAATTATGGTATTTCGGGGAAATTGTTGAATTGGTTAAATAATTATGTTAGTGATAGACAACAACAGGTATTTGTTTGCGATACTAAATCAAATATGAGAAATACAAATGCTGGCGTTCCACAGGGTTCGGTTCTAGGTCCTTTATTATTCATTCTCTTTATTAATGATATTTCTGATAATCTTGAAAGCCTTTCCAAATTATTTGCAGATGACACCTCTTTATTATGTTCGGAAGAATCTCCTCAGGCTATTGAAACTAAAATTAACAGTGACTTAGTTAAGATCCAAAATTGGGCAGATAAATGGTTAGTAAAATTCAACCCTGTAAAAACGAAAGCATTACTTATTTCAAATATAGAACTTGATTATGTTATAGATATTAATTTTAATAATGTAAGTGTTGACTTCGTGGATAATCATAGACACCTCGGAGTAGTTCTGGATACAAATTGTAAATGGAGTAACCACATTGAAAATATATGCCAAAAAGTTTCAAAACAGATAAGTGTACTGCGCAAACTAAAATATATATTAAATAGACCAACTCTTAATAAAATATACAGATCCTATATTCTTCCATTACTAGAATACTGTTGCGAGGTATGGGATGGGTGTACTCTCGGTGACGCAGACAAACTAGAAAAACTTCAACTTGAGTCTGCACGGATAATCACGGGTTTACCCTCTTATTCTAGCAGAACATCTTTATACTCTGAAAGTGGATTCGAACCCTTATCTCAGAGAAGATCTAGGAGAAAACTTTCAACTTTTCTACAAAATTCACAATAATTTCACGCCAACCTATCTTACTACTCTACTGTCTCCTCTTGTCTCAGAAAATTCACAATACAACCTCCGTAATGCCGATAATTATTCTCTTCCTAATTTCCGACTTCAACTTTCAAACTCATCCTTTTTCCCTTCTACAATCCGACTTTGGAACCAATTAGACCTAGACATAAGACACAGAGTTTCACATGCAGCGTTTAAGAATTCTCTCCTAAATCTTCAAAATTTATATGTTCCAAAATATTATCTGATTGGTGATAGAAAACTTAACATTTTACATACCAGATTAAGAAACAGAGCTAGTACCTTAAATAATGATCTATTCCATGCAAATCTAATAAATTTCCGACACTGTCAATGTGGTCACCCTGTTGAAGATACGTATCATTTCTTTTTCGCTTGTAACAATTATGTACAACAAAGAATTAAATTATATCGTGAACTAAACTATTTCATTCCTCTGGACCTACAGCTGATACTTTTTGGTAGTTTGGAATTAAGCCAACAGGAAAATGAAATAATATTTCAACATACTCGGCAATATATTCTAGATTCACATAGATTTTGATAAATATACCCCCCACACACACACACACACACACACACCCTCCCC